CGCCCTTCCTGCACTGAACAATCTCCATAACCCATTAGTACAAGAGGACAGCCCAATTGCTAAGCCGTCCCTTTGACCCCGTAGACAGGACTAGCCACGCCAATGTAGAATGCCTCGTTAGGGCCTTTAGGGGTCGAGTGACCAACATCGTAAAACAAGTTTTTATTGTCCGTAACAAAGCCAGCACTTCTTTCTCCACTGTACTGTATTTTTATTCGTTGGCCTTAAGGGTTCGACTCGTAAAAGTCTCCGGCATTAGAATGCCACCATGGTCTTGCACCAACGACGCAGATATGGCCCATTCGCTCGCATAAACAGTAATTACTGCCTCCTTGGACGGTCAAAGTGTCGCAAGATTGGTGCTGTGGCAATCTTGTTCTTGAGCATTGCGAAATCTACTCGGGCCCTGGACCATTTCCCCTCGTCTTCTGCCTTAGCCACCCCACTGTCCCCCGTCTGCAACTTACATCGCCAATCGTGAAAATTCCACTTCCTTAACTCATAGAGGATCGATGCATACACTGCATAATCTTCAATGAACCTACCGTAGTAATTCAGACTTCCGAGGAACGATTGCATGGCTTTGAGTGTCGTTGGCAACGGTAGGTCGACCAAGGACTGAAGGTCCTCTGGGTGGGCCTCTAGTCCTTGTTCCGAGATCCGGTGACCAAAATGTCTACCTTTGGCAGCCCTATGAGCTCTGACCTCGATGATCGGTGGATTCCAATCGTCACACACATTTGACAACCGCTCTTACCTTTTGCGCACAACATATCCCACGCGTCGGCCGGTATCAGAATGTAATCTATGTAGTATCGCCCACCCAATACCGAGGGATCCGACTTTACATCAGGCTCACCCATCGTAATCAAGTCTTTGGTCTCCTCTGTACAGCTCCTTGAGAGATACGTAAAAAACCATACAAAGCATTATCCAAGAGTCTCTGATATATCTGAGGCGCATTCTTGAGTCCAAAAGGCATCCGCAGCCATTCCAACAACCCAAAAGTGCGAATAGAGCCCCAGGATATTTTTGGCCCGAGGGTTTGTCTGGGTAGCACCCCCCAATCGACCCGCTATCGGAAGCGGTCTCCCTACCCTAGTGGTCCGGGAGCAAGTAAAGGCCAGGCGGTTAACAACCCTGAGATATCAAGGAAAAGTCCAGGGTTGACATTTTCCCCCTGAATAAATTGATTATAAGTCCACCCTCGACCTATTCGACCAAGTGGCCACCTACCGGCCTATTGAGTGAAGTATACCCACTCGAGGCACCCCAAGGTCGACCTCCCTCAAAGCCGACATCACATCTCCACCAAGTCCTCCGAAGAGTGCAACCCGCCAGCCGACGGGTACACAAAGTGAGAGAAGGTCCATACGCGGCATCGGGGTACCCCTCCGACAGTCAGCAGTCCGGCTCAGTGAGGGCTTGAGGTCTCATTACGCAGTTTTGAGAACCCACTCCACCACACGGGTGCGCGTGCCCGGATCTTTGGTAGACGCGGGATATTACCGCGAGTCCCAAGAAGATGAAGATGTTTGAGCTTAGATTGAGGGAAAGACCGAAGGGTCACTAGATGACCGTTCACCAGTGATTACACAAGAAAACAACAAAGGATCGAAGGACCGACCAGACCTTGGGGGGGACCCAGTCAATATGGTCAAGATTGAACTTATTGAAGAGAAACCGTAAAACCCTCCCTATGTCCTCGTTGAGGACACCTTAAGTCATGATATCTAACAAGGCCCAGATGATAACCAGTCTAAGATGAAAAACGATCGACTATTGTCCCCAAAAAACAAAAAACATAGAAAAAACTTCAAAAAATACGATCGCCATGTCCAAGCCGACCAAGCTCCGGATGAAGGCACCAGGTGACACCAAGTCGGTAGCCTTCTCGACCTTAGGACCTTTGTCCTGGTCGGATGCTCACGTGACCATGGCCTACCATCGACTCAAGCTTGACGCGTTCTTGGAGAGTGACCCCGTCACCAAAGCCCTCGAGATCCGGCTGCTGGGTCAGCTCAGTGGACCTGTGTCAACCCTTCCCAACCTGATGACGGTGACAGACGCGATCTCCGCGCCCGTGGCCCTTCTTCGCGAGGCAGGCATGGTCGCAGGAAAGTTCGAGCCTAAAAACTTGTTTTCCCTGGGGTTCAACAGTATCAAGACCACGTTAGAGATTCTACACAACCGTTTGTGGATCCTTGTGGGAACAACCCCAGTACTTCACTCGACTCACCTCCTGCGACTGCCGTAAAAGCACCGTCTGACGACAGCTAGATGACCCTGCAAGACATCGAGTTACACCCTCGAGAGCAATGGTCGATCAAGGACCCGTGGTCTATGCGAGGTCTATCACAGACCACCTTGCCTCAGGGTCCTCCGGTCCCTGCAAGGCAACCGTCGCTAGGGTCGCCCGTCGCTATTCGCGTGGGCCAAATGCCACTAAGACTGACCGGCATGTCGCTGCTGCAGGCCCGAGCGGAGAGCGTGGACGACGAGCAGCGAGCTCACGAAATGGCAACGTGTGTACAGCTAAGGGTCAGTCGGGCTTCTGATATGTCGTATTTTCAACTAATCAGAAATGAGCCAAGGCTAGTACCGAATTATACCTCGTCACGGGAAGGAGTGCCTACCAACCCGGTAGGTAATTTACAGGCATAATTCGACGTGGCGATGGCGAAATTCTTACAAGAACGCCAGGTACCGCAAACTCACATCATTAGAGGTGTGGACAATGGACGACAGAGGGCGCAGAGGTCAACGGCCCAGCTGGGCCCAAGTGCAGGTGTGCAAGTTGCAAGAGACCAAAGGATGACCAACGTGAAGATGGAATCGGTCGGTTCGTGTGAATACGACTCAGATGACATGGATCTCGATGGACCTCTGGCGAGAATGGCCAATGCCACCCTGGGACAGGTTCCCACCATGGTCCCTCGTATCAAAGCTCTCAGCGACCTAGGATCTCAAAAAGTTTCATGGAAGAGACAAAGATGAGGTCCGATCACGCAGCTGAAAGACCACTGTGAAGACTGCGTTTACGAGGGGCCAAGCGCCAGATGGGAAAAAGTGTCTCGTTTTTGAAGGATTGTTGACTGAACGTGCCCAGAACTGGTATCGTCAACTAGGTCGCTCTGTTCGTGGAAATTGGAAGGACTTATTACAGGAATTCCAGATGCAGTTCTGTGGTTTGGGGGTGTCAGTGGCCCGCCAATACTACCATGCAAAGAAAATGTCGGACGAATCCCCGCTGGACTACCTATATCGTCTGAATGTCATCGGACTTCGAGCGAAAATCAAGATCAAGGATGGACCGCCCAAGATTTAAAAGGAATATGTCGAGCACTATATCGAGACCTTGGACGCCCCTGTCTTGGCAGACCAGTTGTTGCCGTGTTACGTTTGGCTGATATGGAAGAGCTGGAGGATGTGCTGAGGGCGCGTCAACGGACGAAGGCCCGACAAGGCAAGATGTTGTTCGGGTCAGAGAAAGTTTCGCCAGAAAGCACCGATTATCCCCCTGATCTTCCAAGAGAGTTGAACCGCCGCTCCGTCCATGCAGTTTGAGCAACCCAGGAGAGGATTCAAGCTCCGAAGACTCCAGTTTAGACAGTTCGGATAGTGACGGTGACCTACGGAAGGTCTACCTTATGGCTACGGAGGCGGAGAAGGACCTAGGGTCAAGGATCCCGAGGGACCGACCCATCAGAGAGGCCGACCAGCCCCCCCCGACCCTCGACCAAGGACCTCCTCAGGACCCCCGCACGGTGTCGGCAACCCCAAATGCTAGATGCGCCCATTGTGGATCCAAGAAGTATGGAGACTTGGGCTGTTGGAAGATGCTGACCTGCGATCGCTGTGGGAAGAAGGGCCATCCATCAGATCGTTGCCTGTTCGTATGTCGAGGTTGTGGAGAAACCCACGAGGTCAGGAAGTGCCCGATGGAAGAGTTTTATAACTTGATCTGCCAATGGTAAAACCCGACCAAGCACGCTGGGATGTGGCCGGAGAAGGGGGGGGAGATGTTAAATTTGGACGCTTTCCGGTTTTATTTTTGTTGGGGGGTTTTTTTTTTTTTTTTTTTTTTTTTTTTTTTTTTTCCCCCCCCTTGGGGGGGTGTGTTTTTTTTTTTTTTTTTTTTTTTTTTTTTTTTTTTTTTTTTTTTTTTTTTTTTTTTTTTTTTTTTTTTTTTTTTTTTTTTTTTTTTTTTTTTTTTTTTTTTTTTTTTTTTTTTTTTTTTTTTTTTGCGTGTGTGTTTTTTGTTTTTTTTTCCCCCCCCCCCCTCTCTTTTTTTTTCCCCCCCCCCCCCCCCCCCCTTTCTCCCCCCCCCCCCCCCCCTTTTTTTTTTTTTCCCCCCCCCCCCCCCCAAATTTCCATCTTGAATATCGCCCTTTGCTTGTAAGGTAGGCTGCCAGATTGACGAAAGTGAGCGCCCAGAATGTGCTGGTATCGGGGTTCCGTGTATACCACGGAAGGACGCACCCGCAGCAAGGTTTTCACTGAGCGGGAATTTGGTATTCATTTTTAAGGTGTAAGGGTGGGCCCAATGGTGGGTCAGGCTGCAATTTTAGGCATGGACTTCATGGTCCCAGCCGGTATTCGACTAGATCTGGCGGATGGGACACTATGTCCGCCCGATGAGGTTCAAGTCCAGTTAGCAGGAAGAAAGGACTCTTTACGATAACCGGGTATCAGATGTGAAGTTAGGTCATTTACGTGCAGGAACCGGTTGGAGGGTACGAAGAAGTGCCTCAAAAAAGGTCGACCTTGCACCAATGGAAGTTGTGGGTCACAAGGGGAAATGATGGATCAAGACTGTGATTCAAGGGGTAGGAGGTCGGAAGTTCCTGAAAGTAATTAATAGCAGTGTACCACCAAGTTTGAATCTGCACAGATGATCCATTGCCGTCGTTTTAAAAGCTCTAACAGGTCGAAACCCAGTAACATACCCTCGTATTCGGCCTCTTTCTGAGACATCATTGCTGGACAGAGTAGCGAAGATGCAAATTCCCGCAAAGTGCTGCGACTACCTGAACGACAGAGCTCGTTCTCAAGCGAGTGAGGCATGCGTTGTCAACGTATTACGAATCTTCCGAGTTTGCACAATATCTCGTACCTGTATCGCATCAATGCAGTCAATGTGCTCCATGGCGTTATTGTGTTTGATGGCAGTTACTAACCCAGGTCGAGGAGGCCCACTGCATTTCGAGAGTGCTCTTGTTCTAGAAATTATGCGGCGAATGATTGTGAAGTGTCTAGAGCACGGTGAGCGAACTGCAAACCCAGGTATCGTATGTCACGATAGTCGTCTGGATCTGTTTGGGTTTCTCTTGAACATCCTCGATAATCCTAATGCTATCGGTAAAGTAAAGGAGCCACACGTCGTGCGCGCCGAAGCAATCAAGATTTTAAACTTACTCGAAAAGGTGCAAAGTGTATTGCTGGACATGCTTATTGAATAAGTTGTAACTCGGTTCTATTGTTAACACTTTCAAGACCTTGTCCAAGGAAGCACTGACCACCAGTTACTGAAGAAATACAAGAAGGGGCAGAAGAGCTACCGTCTCGAGTCCACCGATGCGGTAAAGTCCATGTTCACCGAAGACCCATTTTTGAGGTCCTTGTTTCCTGAGGCAGCTCGTGTAATACGCGCGTATATGCAGATAAACCCTACAGATTACAGTTGATCAGGAAGCAATGTATCCGTATGCCATGTACAGACTATTGATGTTTTGCTAATGCTGAAGGTTGCGATCAACAAATTCTTGGATAACATTCAAATCACCTACGACTCTTATGATTTTCGGAAGCCATCACGTTGATAGCAGTCATTGCAGATGAGCGTTGTCTTTTTTGTAAGCAGACAACAGACACAACTAATGCCTGAGCAAAGTCTTTCTTCATAAGACCACTTCCAATGCAAACAGATCTATTATCTTAATCAAGAAATCGATTAGCAATTACAGCAAGCGCATCATTGGTTTTGCAAGCGATTTTTGCACACTGCCAAGTTTTTCCTATTGCAGTAAAAAATTGCGCAACTCTGATTGTTCTTTACCGAGCACGCGATTTTGGAACCGTACGAGAGACCGTGGACACATCATCAACGAACTTGGTACGGAAGACCACATTCGCGTTGTTGAACATGCCTTCTTTGAGTGATACTACGATGAACTGTGAATGCGAAAAGTGTGAGCGAATCATCTGGCCAATATTTTGGGTGCGCGACAGTAATCCTTGCTCGACATGTGTTTGCAGCAACAAAGGCTATGATGTCCTTCACGATCTACTTGTCATATTCATCGCTGCAAAGATTGCTCGGGACAGAGCCCAGAGGGACAGGCTGCCGATTCATAATTTGAATAAGGCACTTTTCCTGCTGTCAGAAACAATGGACGAGCACTCTGATCTTACTGGTCCCGCGATGACCGCAACAGGCCGCGCCATATCAGAACAACACCTCGCGCGGCGCAAGATTAGCTGTCCGAGGCCTCGTACTTACATATTATTTTGAGCAGATGTATGTACGGTGCTTTTGAGTACCCCCAGACACGATATAGCGGGTCGCTCGCGTACCTGAATATACCTCACATTCTCACGCAGTTTCTTACAGTAAGTGTAACGGTCCAATACGTCCGCAGTTGACGTTGAGACTGCAGCGGTAGAGTCCGCTAATGTCTCGATAACGATAGGCGCGTGGGTCATAATGGAAAAAAATGTGACAAACTAACGTGATAGAACTGTAGGGTAGTGTTACGATACAGTTTGTTTGTATGTGTGTGTGTTTTTTCAGAAATAGGCAATTTGAAACTCAATCAACGGTTGTGCTCCAAACTGAAAGTGAATGAAACAAATGGCAGAGGTGAAAGAAAAGGTATCGACAGTACATAGATAGATAGAGATACTTCTGATACGATAAATGACACCAAAGGGATAATATAAGGACAGAAAAATATTCAAGCACCCGATTGTTTTATATGCTTAAACGAATAGAGCACACGATAAGATTGGTATGCGATTCTATAGGTCATTCCTTCTCATCCTGCTCCGTCACATAAAATTCGGGACTCGGTTATATATCATTATGAAGCTGCGTGTCTTCCACGTGATATCGAAACAGTCGTTACCAGTTTTCACACGTGGCGTCACCTTGTGATCCCGAGATGATCTGCGTGGTGTGCATGAAAGATTTTCCGTGCGTCTGTGCGGTCTATATGCGTCTTCTACAGCTCTTGAAGCCCTACAGCATTTGAAAAAAAGAGGTGCAAATGAAAGAAGACAATAAGTGACAGAACGTGTTTGGAGCAGTAGAAGGGGTCCGAAGCAACATATAGGTTTTGAAGTAACACGTCCCTAACTGCTCAGCCAGCCATGTCCTTCCTTAGGCTATATTTTGAGGAAGACGTGCGCCGTCGGGGAATCGAACCCCGACCTCATCGGGGGGATGAATCCTAACCATTAAACCAACGGCGCATCGATCAATCAAAAGCCTTCTTTTGACAAAAATAACGCCCACAAACACTACAAATGCAACATCCTTGCATGGGTTGATATTGCACCTACCGTGCATGCAGTACGTCAGCGTGTTCAAAAGAAGCGGCGCATCACGCATCATCTCTCTCAACTGCTCCAACTACACGTGGTGTACAGGCAAGCACATGGTCTCCTGTCGGCAGCTCAAACACAAAGCATGCCATGGACCAAATATCTGCTGATGTATCGTAAGGCTTGCCAAGGATGACCTCAGGGCACCGGTACTGACGTGTCTGGATGTCGTTCGTAAAATGCTTCGTAGTCCAGCACGCGTTGCCAGGGTCGCAGATCTTTGCGTTAAGTTTCATGAGGTCAAACCCTTCACTGGTTGCCAGCTCATTCAAACGCGAAGCCCAACAGCTGAGTCGTTGCTGGAGCGGTTTGACTTTCAGATTTCTTAACCTAAGGCGGCAATGTGATGCATCAGTGCAACGAGGTTCTCAACATCAGCGCCAAGCTTACCAGCATCGGCGCCAAGATGGAGGACGAAGACGTGGCGATCTGTTTGTTGCGCAGTCTCCACAAGAGCTACGAGAATGTCATGCTGAATTTGGAGATGAACAGCGCTGAATTACGATCAAGAGACGTTGTAAGGGTGCTGTTTAAAGGAGATTTTCTTCAATAATACCATTACAAAAGGTCAGCATATGTTTGCTTTGTTCTGATGCTCCTGCTGCCACTCAAAACGTAAGCAAACCAAGAGCAGGGCGGTTCATGTTCAATTGATTTACATAATTACTGAACTGGTGCGCGAAATATATCTGAAGAGATGTGCAATCCAGTAGTGTTCATGCGGTAGACCTAGTTGTCACCAACCTTTTCGGTTTTGCTTACGATGACGAAAGCCGATCTGCAAAACAGTCCTCGTGAAAGATTTGCATATGAACAAATATTTATTTCCCCCTCGCAACCACCACTTTTACAAACGCAGTTTGCAGTCGCACGGGTATGTTCGAGAGTAAGCATGCGCCTTCTATTTGCAACAATGTGCGAGGATATCACGGCATGCCAATTGAATGCTTGTGCGGGAGCGACGTCTGATATCTCAGCAGATCCATTCGTGGATGGCCCCACGAGGTTCTTGCGAGCGCATGAACTCGTCCACGAGACAAAAGAGGAGAATACTATATTCCCTGTTACTCTGGATGCGAATACAAGCGCGTCAAATGTAAATGAAGGCCAAGAAGTCGTTCACAAGATTAAAAAATCTTGTGAACGACTTCTTAGAGATTCTTAAGACCATTCTTCACACCTTTCAAAGTGACTAGCTACTCAAACAGCAATCGTGCC